GCGGTAAGTCTGAGGGCTCACACCGCTAAAAACCGGGTTTCGATACTCGTGGTGGACAGATAGCCCTTTGTGACTTTGCTCTAAGATAAACAAACAAACACTCTTAATATTCGCTACGTAAACAACGATTACCTCTTCTTTAACTTGCTCTATATTCCGTAATAATATGTTGATTCGTAAAATTATCTTTCTTGCGATTACCTCTAATTAAATGTCGTGAACGAAATACTTCAAGGGCCTAACTAAATTATGACACTCTCTGTTACATCACACTTGAGTGCTGGGGGCGTGGTGCTTGATGTTTATGTGTGAAACATCTAAACACTCTCTGTTACATCACACTTGAGTGCTGGGGGCGGGGTGCTTGAGGTTTATGTGTGAAACATCTAAACACTCTCTGTTACATCACACTTGAGTGCTGGGGGCGGGGTGCTTGATGTTTATGTGTGAAACATCTAAACACTCTCTGTTACATCACACTTGAGTGCTGGGGGCGTGGTGCTTGACGTTTGTGTGTGAAACATCTAAACACTCTCTGTTACATCACACTTGAGTGCTAGGGGCGTGGTGATTGATGTTTATGTGTGAAACATATAAACACTCTGTTACATCACACTTGAGTGCTGGGGGTTGGGTGCTTGATGTTTATGTGTGAAACATCTAAACACTCTCTGTTACATCACACTTGAGTGCTGGGGGCGTGGTGATTGATGATTATGTGTGAAACATCTAAACACTCTCTGTTACATCACACTTGAGTGCTGGGGGTTGGGTGCTTGATGTTTATGTGTGAGACATCTAAAGTTCATTAAGTTAAGCTACATTGTTCTGCTTATCAATATACACTTTTAACTAACGATTTATTATTGTTGTTGCTATTTACCAACGCGCTTGTGCCTTAACTGTAGTTTTGGCATTTGAATAATTGAATAATTTTCAAAGTGTCCTATCGTTAGGCTATTTATTTATATTGACGATCATTCATATAGTATGGTTGTCTCTGTGGCTCTGAAAAGATAAAAAGTACGTTACAGTTTATCTAAAAAGGCAACATTTAAGTAAGATAATTTACTCGTTCGCTATTAAAGGGCCCTCCAGTGGCACAGTGGTACGTCTGCGGACTTACAACGCTAGAAACCGGGTTTCGATACCCGTGGTGGGCAGAGCACAGATAGCCCATTGTGTAACTTTGTGCTTAACTTCAAACAAACACTATTAAAGATATTTACATATCAACGTATCTTCTTTCCAATAGAAATTTAAAATATGTACGAACGTAATAACGAAAATAATCTATTGATATCGGTAACAGTTAAACACTTACTGAATGTAGCAAGTGTATGTTGTAGCTTCTAGGAAAAAGGCGTAGTTATTCAAACCGCTGATTTAGTGCCGATACTAGAAGTTGATTGGCTGTTGTCTTATCAATAGTAGCTTGCTTGTGATGTACTTATTCCTTCTTTGATTGTTGTATAGATACTTGTGGTGTACATATTCCTTCTGTTATTGTTGTATAGATACGTGTGGTGTACTCATTCATTCTGTGATTGTTGTGTAGATACGTGTGGTGTACTCATTCATTCTGTGATTGTTGTATAAGTACGTGTGGTGTACATATTCCTTCTTTGATTGTTGTATAGATACTTGTGGTGTACATATTCCTTCTGTTATTGTTGTATAAATACGTGTGGTGTACATATTCCTTCTTTGATTGTTGTATAGATACTTGTGGTGTACATATTCCTTCTGTTATTGTTGTATAGATACGTGTGGTGTACATATTCCTTCTGTTATTGTTGTATAAATACGTGTGGTGTACATATTCCTTCTTTGATTGTTGTATAGATACGTGTGGTGTACATATTCCTTCTTTGATTGTTGTATAGATACCTGTGGTGTACATATTCCTTCTTTGATTGTTGTATAGATACGTGTGGTGTAC